TGCCAGGCAGCAGGGTGTCGACGGGTGCCTGTGCAAGGGACGCCGAGGCTGTGCCGCCCGTGCATGCCAGGGGGCAAGGCATGCTCTCGTACGCTCCCTGCCCACCATGCCTGGGACAGTGCTGGGCACCCAGGGGCCACACACAGGGAGCCTCATGACTGTAACTCAGAGAGAGCTTTGCCTTTTCCGCGGGTCTGAGCCCAGCCACCCAGGTAGCTGTTCTGCCCTAACTCTGCTTCTCAGCGGGAAGAAGCACTACCCTGTCGGCCACCAAAGTCACCAAAAGCCCCAAAATGATAAGGCAGGCAGAGGGCACCATCTGCTAACTGCCCTGGGCCGCGTCCACGCTGCCGCTCGGAGCTGGCTGAGCTGGAGGAGGAAGGGGTCGGCCTCTCGCTGGCCCCGAGGCCGAGAGGCCTGGGGGCTGCAGCACGCGCCCCCCCACTGCCCCCCTCCCTGTGCAGCATCCAGCTGCAGGCCTGGCACCCGCCAGAGGCAGCCCCCTGTCCCCACCCCACCCACCCCCGAAGCTCCTCATTCTGGAGGCGGGCACCGGTCACGCAGGGTTCTGGCAACTGGGGACAGAAGGGACGCTGGTGGTGAGGGAACACCGCACGGTGAGAAGAACCGCTCCGTGCCTCTCCCCACCCCTCCTCTTGCAGGTTCTCTAAAACTGGGTCAGGCACGGGCCTCTGATGCCCGGGAGCACGGGGACGGCGGGGAGACGGCGGCGGTGGCAGCCACCTGCACACCGGTGGCTTCCAGGCATGGCGCCGGGCCCCCTACTGCTCATTCCCGCGGCCTCCCATTTAACCCACAGAGCGGCACTCCTCAGGGTTTTGTGCTCGTAGCTAATTGGTCATTTGTGTAACGGTTTGTCTAGTGACCCGTCCCCCGGCCTGTGAGCTCTGGGAGGGCGGGAACCCCGGTGGCCGGCACACTCGTGGACCCTCGGTGTTTGGCCAGCGCCTGCTACCAACAGGGTGAAGGTTTGCTTTGGTCCGAGTTACCCCACCGAGGCACCGCGAGGCAGACTGCCACCGCTTCCTGGTGAGGACACTGGGGCCGGTCGGAAATCGCACAACTCACGCAAGTGAGGCGCAGCCCCAAACCACGCCCGAGCTTCTCACCACACCACTCAGTCTCCCATCTATCCAACGGAGGGAAGAGAAACTACGGTCCAGAGGAGGGAGCCTGGGGCCCTGTCGGTGTCCTGACGCCCAGCCGACAGGGGCGCGCGCGGGGGCGGGCCAGAAGGTCTGGGCCTTGGAGCAGCGCCCACCCCGTGAAATATCAACCCAGGAGCTGGGGGTGGGGGAAACTCAAGCAAATGCCCTCTTTGCAAAAGCTGGAAGCTTTTGAGGAGGGGACAGACCCCAGGCCAGGTGTGGGGGGTGGAAGGCTGCTGTTAGGGGAGCCGGGGTGAGTGTCACGGAGCTCCGGGAGCAGGGGTGCAGCTGAGGACCGCAGGGCGCCCCAGCTGGTGGCCAGCCTGCCGAGTCTCACGCTGCAGGGTGGGTGGTGTTAGGAAGGTGTGGAAATGGAGGGAGGGAGGAGCGCGCATCACGGCCGGCTGGAGCTACCCGGGGCCAGAGGGGCCTTGCGGGGGATACCTGGGTTCTACTGAGACTGAACGATCACGCCCACACTGGGCTCTGTGAACCCAACAACCGCGCGAGGCAGGAGTTCTTGTAATCTAACGACTTACAGATGAGGCAGCCGAGGCTCTGAGTGGCAAAGTAATCTGCCATAGATGACACAGAGGTACGTACGGATACGTGTGCGTGCACTCATTAGTCCAAGACCCAGTGCGCCGAGCTTCCCACGCACGTTCTCGCTGAAGCCACAAATAACGGGAGGTACGCATATACCAATAACTTTGCTTTTCAGATGACGAACTGCGGTTCAAGGAAATGCAGTGACTTGCTCAGGGTCTCTCAGTGAGTACCTGCCTCTCTCTACCGTTACACCAAGGGCAGGAACGGGTTCTCCAAGCCTCAGCTCTCCCTTCTGCGGCCCGAGCCTTCACCGCCTCCTCACCACTCTGAGCGCCCTTGGGCACTAGGCACAGATGATCAACTGTCGCTGGTAACCGTCCTGCGGACAGACAGCATTTGTCTGCCACGGGGCTGGAAGCTTCCTGAGGCAGGGGCCCTGCGTGATCCTTGGGGTCTCCATGACACAGCGAGGGAGAAGCTAGTTACGGGTGAAGGAGGCATAGCTCCACAAACACAGCCCAGGCAATATTTGCAGCCCGATATTCGCCAGGGCCCTTCCCTGTCCATGCACCCACCTTGTGCCCCCGGGGTTGCCGAGGTCACACCATCGAATGATAGCGAGAAGGTGGTGACCAACAATCGTGGAGAAATTTCCTAAGAATGCTGTTTGGCAAGATCCTCCTGCTCCTTTTTGAATCAGGGAAATCTGTGCATTTCTGAACCTTTGTGATCCCAAAATAGACGACCGAAGGGGAGGCTCTGAACTTGCATTTCAGAAGTCAAGCGCGGCCGAGGCACTGAAGTCCTCTGCCCGGGGCAGGGGCGGGGACGGTGGTGTGCAGACCACGGCTGCAGAATCCTGGCAGCCCTAACGAGAATGGCTCTTGACCTCCGCGGAGAGCTCTCAAGCGCCCCAGACTCTCTCAGAACCTCGTTTCAGTGCACCCTCCCAACAGCCTTCAGAGTCCGTGGACAGACGGGAAAGCTGAGGCCAGGTGGGGTGGGGCTGCCCGAGTTCGCCCTGCGAGCCAGCGGCGGAGCTGAGGCCTGACCCAGGGGCACAGTTCGCCGGCCCGGCCACGGCAGCCCGCTCGGACACGCTGGCTCTTGGCATCCACGCACTCTGAGTTCTCATCCTCAGCCCCTCCGGCCCAGTCGCCCGCTCAGCTTAACGCACCAACCTGGCAAAATCTCAGCCTCCACCGGGCGCTTCTGGGAAGGACAGTCTCCATCACACGGCCAGCCACGCCACCCGACCACGCATCTGAGGTCAACACGCACTGCCCTTCTCGGCCTGTCTTCACGTCATACTTATTCCAACACTGTCATTTTGCCTATTTCATGTAGCAGAACGGGGTTTTGTGGAGCTCCTTAAAAAAGGTCCCCGTCACCTTCCACTGCCGCCGAAAAGCCAGGACCAGGCTACCATCCTCCCTCACAGGATATGGAGCCATTGTTCCCACCGATGGGTGACAGGAAGTTCCCACCTTCTCTCTCCCGCTGCTCCCCCAAATTCCACTAACTCAGGGATGACACCACCAGCTGGTGCTGAAAAGAAAGGCGTTCAGGCAGACACAAACAGTTCCTCATCCTTGCCGTTGTCATCACAACAGCCACGCACTCAATAGGTGCCGACCAGTGTGCTGAGCATTCCAGGGTGATCTCTCCGTTAGCCCAAGAACTATTTTACAGACGAGGAAGCTGGGGTGACCAGAAGGCCCCTTGCCCAAGTCCGCACAACCAGGAAGCAGTGGCATGACCTGATCTGACCACGGTGCTCTATGGCTGCCCTTTTGTGTCCAGCCCATCAATGGCCATTACATAGATGGAAGAAGGGTACTTGCAACTCGAGGCCAGGGCACAATGGCCACTTGTCATCTACAACAAATCTGTATTTTCTCCGAGCACCAGACACTTCACGTTAGCACAGTTCTGAAAGGGTAACCCCGTGGACACCCCGTGACTTGGCAATCACGCAGACAGTCCCTGATGTCGTCCCCACCATGAGCTGGTCCCCACTCTTCTCTGATTCTCTGACTCCATCAACCGCTCCTCCCCTCTTTCACTCTGCTTCAGCCCTGCGGTCCTCATGTTTCTTAAAATCCTCAGGCACGTGACCTCAGGACCTTAGCACTTGCTGTTGAACACTCGCCTTCAGAGAGCTGTATGGCTTGCTCCCTCACTCCCTTCAGGTCTCTGATTAGATATCCGCTCATCAGACACGTTCTCAGACCACTGTTTATAAAAATGTGCCTGCACTCCCTGGCTCTTTCCATAGTCCTTCCTGCTCCCCCCCCCCACACACACATATTACGTTTATTATTTGCTGGATGAATAAATGAAACAAAACAGAGAGTCCGTTCACTCCTGCTACCACCTCCTGCAGAGGAGGGTAGCCTCCTGGGACCCTTTTCAAAGCTGCCTTCAATGCTCATTCCAACCAGCTTGAACCCTGACAAGAAATATTCCGTGGGAAAGATCATACGGGATGATTTTCCCACGGAGGCACCAGCCAGCCCTCTCCCCCTGCAAAAGCAAGTGTGCTGGCCGGCGCAGGCAGAGCCTGGAAATCCCGAACACCTCCTCGAGCCAGAGAGCAAGCAGCCAAGTTCAATTCCACCCACAGAGCTCCAGCGGCCGGCGCAGTCAGTTTCAGTTTCAACTCACCTGCCTGGCTCCTGCTCCTCGGGTTTGCAACCCCGCCCCATCCCTCTCCCCCCTGTTGGGCTGTTGGATTTCCTGCACCATCTCATCCCTTTTAGCAGCTGACCCGGGCTCGGAGCCGTCCCTGAGCGTGAAAGCACTGCTTTGGGGGAACTTAATTAAGCTCATCCAACAGGTAGGGGGGCAGGGGCTGGCCCTGGCGGTCCCACACCGACACCCCATTCTGTAGGGGCACCCAACAACGAGTCATTTTCTCTCTGGAGGAAGGGAGCTCAGTCTCAAAGGCACGTTTCTCAGACCTGGTAACAGGGGTAGAGGAGGAAGCCCTCCCACCGCTGGCGGAGATGGACCTGTGCAAGTGGTCGCCGCCGCGATGCTGAGGCGCCGGAGGCAGGAGGGGAAGGGGTAGAACGCAGGTACATCCCTTGGCTCCGGGAATGGACTGGATGCTTCCTCGGCCGAGGAGGAGCGGAGGATGCGGCCCGGGCCGGTAGGGGATGTCGTCAGGCTAGGGCTGGGGTCTGGGGGAGACCGGGGTCGACGAGGCGGAGCTTAGGGTCCCGGGGGCGGGAGCCCCGGGCGGGAGGGGGTCGCGCCGCGGGGACCCTTGGCCTTTACCTTGCCCTTAGGGCTGCAGGCCGCCCAGTGCTGGCTCCGGGGCCGGGCCCCTCCCCCGATTCGGCTCCTACAGCTCGGAGCCCGCAGCCGCCGCCTCCGCTGTCAACAAACCACGGGCGCGTCACTTCCGGGGCCGCCCCTTAGCAACAGCGGATCGGTGTCCCCGAAGGGTCCCGCGGCGAACGCGGGCGGTGGTGGCAGAAGGTTCCGGAGCCCTGCAGGGGCTCCTCTTCGGACCGGGAGCCGGTTGCCGCAGAAGGAGGGAGCAGGTGGGGCGTGCACTCGGGCGGTGAGCGTGTGCCTCCGCGGCTGTCCCTGGCTTCTGGGCAGCCGCTTATGTGACCCCTGGGTTAGGGCCCGCTCTGTCCTGCAGCTCACTAGACCCCAGGCGGGGCTTCAGGGCGGGACTGACTCCATCTTCCCCGTCAGCACTGACCTCTCGCAGAGCACCAGCCCCACACCCAGCGCCCTGTTGAACATCTCTGGTTCCACAGGTAACTCACGCCCACGCGACCAAACACAGTCATCACCTTCCTCCCCAACGCCCTGATACTTTTCCAGCTAGTTAATGAGCCACCAGTCAACTCGGTTGTCACGTGGGAAGTTGATAGTGGGCCTCGGCCCCAGCGTTTTTCTCAGCTCCTGGTGCAGTTGCCAAGTCCTAAGGACCTCTCAAACCCAGTCCCTTCTCTGCTAACCAGTAGGGCCGGACTCTGTGCACCATCATTTCTTCTCTGGGGTTCCGCAGTAGCCTCCTCGTGGAGCTCCCTGCTCCTTCCCGTCATTCTCTCCACAGTCCCAGGGTGATTTTTCCAAAACTTAAATCTGATCTGGGCATTCCCCTGCTTACAGCCCTCACTGGAGAGGACAGGGATGTCCCCTGCCTCCCCCTCCAGCCTCCTGTCCCCTCCCCTTTCTCCCCCACTTCCACTCTCCAATCCAGAGAGTTTAAAGCACTGTTTTGTTGTTTTTCTTTAGTGAACCTTTTCTCTCCCATAGGCTCAAACAGTATCTTCCCAAATAAACACTTTTCTCGCTCCCATGCATAACCAGAACACTCCTCCACCTTCTGGTCTCCGTTTGGATGTTACTTCCTCCAAGAATTCTATCTTGACACAGCCCTCACCCCAATTCTAATAACTAGCTTTGTGCATTTTCCCCCTTCTGCACAGTGTATTTTAGTTTCTGACCGTGTGCAACTATGTATCAATATGATTTTGAAATGTTTCAAATGTCTATTGAATTTATTTTTTTAAAGATTTTATTTACTTATTTTTAGAGAGAGGGGAAGGGAGGGAGAAAAAGAGGGAGACAAGCATCAATATGTGGTTGCCTCTTGCACACCCCCTACTGGGGACCTGGCCTGCGACCCAGGCATGTGCCCTGACTGGGAATCAAACCAGCAACCTTTTGCTTTGCAGTCCAGTGCTCAATCCACTGAGCCACACCAGCCAAGGTTGATTTTGAACTACCAGAGTTAGCCATGCATTTAAAAAAAAAATCCAAACAATACAGAAATATATGGCAGAAAAAATGAAAATCCCCATCAAAACCCAACCTAATCCCAATTTTATGCCCTTCCTCAGAGATGACCACTCTTAACAACTTGGTGAGCATTTTCTTAGTCCTTTAAAAATATGCATGTATATGTAAAAACTAAAACTATAAAACTGTTAGGACAATACATAGGAGTAAGTCTTTGTGACTTTGGGTTAGGCAGTGTGTGTGTGTGTTTTAATTTATTGATTTTAGAGAAAGAGGGGGTAGGAGAAAGGAAGAGGGAGAGAGAGAGAAGCATCAATTTATGCCGTTCCACATACTTATGCATTCATTGGCTGAGTCTTGTATGTGTCCTGACTGGGGATTGAACCTGCAGTCTTGCTATATGGGGATAATGCTCTAACCTGCTGAACTACTCAGCCAGCATGGCAGTGGGTTCTTTAATATGACACCAAACACAAGAGGAAAAATATAGACAAATTGGATTTCATCAAAATTAAAACTTTTGAGCTTCAAAGGGCACCATCAAGAAAGTGAGACTTCCAGCCAAGATGGAGGTGTAGATAGACACACTGTGCCTCCTCACACAACCAAAATAAAGACAACAATTTAGAAACAAAATAGCAACCAGAACTGACAGAAAATTGAACTGTATGGAAGTCTGACAACCAAGGAGTTAAAATAGACACGTTGATCCAGACCGGTACGGCGGGTGGAGTCGGGCGGCCAGGCAGAGATGGCTTGTGGCAAAAAAAAGCAGTGGCATTGGGCAAGCAAGGCAGCAGCTGACAGACCCCAGGAGCTCAAGACGGCAGTGGGCAGACCCCGGGCACGGGGTGGCAATGGGCAGACCCAGTGAGGTGGTGACTGTGAAGCAGGGCACGGCATGCAAGGCCGCAGGCTGACTGGGTGGTCCCACATCCGCGCACAGACAAACCAGGTGACAATGGGGAACGAGACGGACTGCACAACCCAGGGTCCCAGGGCGGGGACACAAGGCTTGAAACACCGATTGAAAACACCTGTGGGGGTTGCGGTGCTGGGAGAGACTCCCAGCCTCACAGGAGAGTTTGTTGGAGAGACCCACAGGGTCCTAGAATGTACACAAGTACACCCACACGGGAATCAGCACCAGAAAGGCCCAGTTCTGCTTGTGGGGAGCGGCAGAAGGGACTGAAATCTGACTGAGAGTGGAGCAAGCGCCATGTTCCCTCTTGGACCCATGTCCACATACATTTCACAACCCAGAGACTGGGCTGCCCTGCCCCGTGAACACCTGAGGCTCTGCCCTTCATATGTAACAGGTGCAAGGAAACAAACAAACAAACAAAATGGCCCAAATAGAATAACAGATCAAAGCTCCACAGCAAATTCAACGAAGCGATGAAGAGATAGCCAACCTATCAGATGCACAATTCAGAGCACTGGTGATCAGGCTGCTCACAGAATTGGTTGAATTTGGTCGCAAATTAGATGAAAAAATGAAGGCTACGCTAAGTGAAATAAAGGAAAATGTACAGGAAACCAATAGTGATGGGAAGGAAAATGGGACTCACATTAATGGAGTGGACAAGAAGGAGGAAAGAAACAACCAAACAGAAAAGAAGGAAGAAACAAGAATTCAAAAAAAATGAGGAGAGGCTTAGGAACCTCCAGGACACCTTTAAACGTTCCAACATCTGAATTATAGGGGTACCAGAAGGGGAAGAGGAAGAGCAACAAGTGGGAAAATTATTTGAACAAATAATAAAGGAGAGCTTCCCCAATCTGGCAAAGGAAATAGACTTCCAGGAAGTCCAGGAAGCTCAGAGAGTCCCAAAGAAGTTGGACCCAAGGAGAAACACACCAAGGCACATCATCATTACATTAGCCAAGGTAAAAATGAAGGAGAGAATCCTAGAAGCTGCAAGAGATAAGGAGACAGTAACCTACAAAGGAATTCCCATAAGACTGTCAGCTGATTTCTCAAAAAGAGACCTTACAGACCAGAAGGGGCTGGAAAGAAGTATTCCAAGTCATGAAAGGCAAGGACCTACATCCAAGATTGCTCTGTCCAGCAAAGCTTTCATTGAGAATGGAAGGGCAGATAAAGTGCTTCTCAGATAAGGTAAAGTTGAAGGAGTTCATCATCACCAAGCCCTTATTAAATGAAATGTTAAGGGGAGTTATCTAAGAAAAAGAAGATAAAAAAACATGTACAGTAAAATGACAGCAAACTCCCAATTATGAACAACCACACCTAAAACAAAAAGAAAAAGAAACTAAGCAATCAACTACAACAGGAACAAAACCACAGAAATGGAGATCACATGGAGGGTTAGCAACAGGGGAGTGGGAGGAGGAGAGAGGGGGAAAAGGTACAGAGAATAAGTAGTGTAGATGGTAGGTAGAAAATAGACAGGGGGAAGGCAAGAATAGTATGGGAAATGTAGAAGCTAAAGAACTTATGACACACGGACATGAACTAAAGTGGGGGGAATATAGGTAGGAGAGGGTGTGCAGGGTGGAGGGGAATGAAGGTGGAAAAATGGGAAAACTAATAGCACAATCAATAGTACATATTAAAAAAAAGTGAAAAGACAACCCACAGAATGGGAGAAGATATTTGCAAATCACATATCTGATAAAGAATGGTAATCCAGGATATATATAGAACTGAATAATAAAAAGGCAAATAACCTAATGTAAAGTAGGCAAAAGAGCTGACTAGACATTTCTCCAAAGATGATATACAAATGGCCAAGATGCACGTGAAAAGATACTCAGCATCATTAGTCATCAGGGAAATACAAATGAAAACCACAATGAGATACACCTTCCTATGCTTTGGATGGCTGTGATCCAAACATAGGCAACAACAAGTATTGTCAAGGAAGTGGAGAGATGGGAACACTCCTACATTGCTTGTGGGAATATAAAACGGTGCAGCTGCTTTGGAAAGGTTACCAGAAGACCTAGAAATTCTACTCCTGGGTGTGTACCCAAGAGAAAATGTTTGTAACAGCATTATTCATAACACTCAAGAAGGAAAATAACCCAGTGCTACTCATCAGCTCGTGAATGGATATGATATAGAACAGTATATTCGTAAAGGGGAATATCATTCACCAATAAAAAGGAATGAAGGATTGATACGACACCATGGAAGGACCTTGAAAACCTATGGTGAATGAAAGCAACCAGTCACAAAGACCATACACTGTGTGATTCTATTCCTGTGTTCAGAAAAGGCGAGTGTATAGAGACAGACAGTAGGTTAGTGGTTGCCTATGGAGGAAGGGGCAGAGAAAACGATGTGGACAGGGTTTTGGGGGGTGATGAAAATGGTCAGAATTTGATGGTGATGGTGGTGGCGTGGTTGACGGGTGATAGATGTCCAAGTGGGAATGTTCTAAAAACCACTGATTGGCTCACTTTAAATATATGCTCCAAATGTATAGTATTGAATTATATCCCAATAAAACTGTTAAGGTGCATTTATAAACACATGTGTACACAGAAACTCATAATGCAAGATGGATTTAAAAATATAAATAGAATCACAATATACAAATTATTCTGTGACATTTCTACTACTTTTTGTGTTAGATCATATAGTCTGTTTAGTTCTTTTGAAAATTGCACAATTTTCTCACT